ACACAGATTAAGCAGTGGGACAGAGTGGGCAGTTAGACACAGATTAAGCAGTGGGACAGAGTGCTCAGTTAGACACAGATTAAGCAGTGGGACAGAGTGCTCAGTTAGACACAGATTAAGCAGTGGGACAGAGTGGGCAGTTAGACACAGATTAAGCAGTGGGACAGAGTGCTCAATTAGACACAGATTAAGCAGTGGGACAGAGTGCTCAATTAGACACAGATTAAGCAGTGGGACAGAGTGGGCAGTTAGACACAGATTAAGCAGTGGGACAGAGTGCTCAGTTAGACACAGATTAAGCAGTGGGACAGAGTGCTCAGTTAGACACAGATTAAGCAGTGGGACAGAGTGCTCAGTTAGACACAGATTAAGCAGTGGGACAGAGTGCTCAGTTAGACACAGATTAAGCAGTGGGACAGAGTGCTCAGTTAGACACAGATTAAGCAGTGGGACAGAGTGGGCAGTTAGACACAGATTAAGCAGTGGGACAGAGTGGGCAGTTAGACACAGATTAAGCAGTGGGACAGACAAACCGCTCTGTCTCTTTACTTTTTTTTTTTTAATTCTTTATTTTTATTGTGCAAGTGTTAACATACAAACTTGATATGCCACGACAGCTATAACAAGCGTAGTAAAAACAGACAAAACTGTTGCTGCACATTTTTTATATTAAAATAACAGGCCAGGAATAGTAAAGTAATAGAACACGTCAGTAGGCAGCTATTACAAGAGGGGTAAGTAGATTTTAGGTAGCACACCCATAAGGTCCCTGGGTAGAGAGAAAGCATCAGTTAGGTAAAGACACGTCAGCCCCTAATTCAACAAATTGTGCTTGGTAGAAAGTGGAGAGAAGATGATTTGTGTCTGCATCTGGGGTAGTGGAGCAATCTCACTGGGGGCACAGTTCCTGGTCATCCTATGCCTCTCAGGGGGTGATCAGAAGCTCTCTTCAGCAAGAAGAGCTCAGGCAGACGCCGTAAAGTCGTCAGACTGGCGTATTGAAATGGGTCTAGTCGCAGCGTCACAGAGCTCTCCAGCGATAGAGCTTCTCGAAGTGAAGCAGGTGAAGGCTTGTGCTTTTGCTGGAAAGTTGTGCCTGGCTTCCTTGGATTTGCGGCTTCTCAGACGTCTCCGCCTTGTTCGGGTGCACCGTGGACCTTGATCCAATTGCTTTTGCAGTGATTGCCTTGAGTGGCTCTGGGCAGGTTGGGCATTCTGATGCTTTCGCTCGCAGATTGTTCTCCAGAAGTCTGCAAAGAGCTTGTGGAGCTTGGAGTTAGTCTTAACTCCGGGCTGACACATGGCATCCGCCATGTTATGTGACTTCCCGATTCTGCTTTGCTGCCAAATCACACCTGGCAGTCCAGTGAGCCAGAGAGACCATGAGTGTGTGGACCAGGATCACTTCGACCGGTCCAAAGGGGGGGGGAAGGGCGGGAAACGGGGCACTATATGGTTTAAGCTGGGTCAGAGGGAGCTTCAGACACGGAGATCGGCCGCCTCTCCGACCCGGTGTGCCCCACATGCCGCAATGCTGATATCGCCTATACCTCTAATAATTCAGTTTGTGGCTGCCCTATGGAGCCTTAGCTTGATAAAAGTTGTGGTTGGACTCCGTGTATCTCGGTGAGGGAAAATAGATGGTTGTATCTCCAATATTAGGAAATTGTCGAGGAGCTCTTTCATTTCCTGTCTATTCAGCATGGGGGTCAGGCCCTGACCCCTGTCTTACTACTTTCTAACTGCGCATTGCTCTGTCACAGTTAATCTGTCTAACTTCGCTACGTTTGTCTCATTATCTAATCTGTGTCTAACTGCGCTATGTCTGTCTCATTATCTAATCTGTGTCTAACTGCGCTATGTCTGTCTCTAACTGCGCTATGTCTGTCTCATTATCTAATCTGTGTCTAACTGCGCTATGTCTGTCTCATTATCTAATCTGTGTCTAACTGCGCTTTGTCTGTCTCATTATCTAATCTGTGTCTAACTGCGCTATGTCTGTCTCATTATCTAATCTGTGTCTAACTGCGCTATGTCTGTCTCATTATCTAATCTGTGTCTAACTGCGCTATGTCTGTCTCATTATCTAATCTGTGTCTAACTGCGCTATGTCTGTCTCATTATCTAATTTGTGTCTATCTGCGCACTCTGGCTCACTATTTAATCTGTGTTTAACTGCTCACAATGTCTGTCGCACAATTTAATCTGTGTCTTAACAAACTGTGCCATATTTAATCTTGCTGTTAATTTAAAAAAAAAAAAAAAAAATCACATCCTAATTACACATGCTACACCAAGTGTTTTGCATCCCAAAGAGATATAAATGATCAATCTCAAACCGTAAATAAACATTGGTGAACAACAAGTACATTTTGTAAAATGCGTATGACCAGGGGCAAAAATATATCCGTTTCTGTAAGGTAATAAATATAGAATAAATAAATAGTGCAATACTGTAAATTCAAGAACATCTCATGTAGATCACAATTTCTACTTAAAATGGAAACTTAGAAAATCAGAATGGTTCTGTGCCATAATCGGAGGATCAGCCCCTTTAAGAACGCCAGATCCTATGTAGGAGGTAAGCCTGATACTTGGGTAAGGATGAAATCGTCTGCCAGATATCCAAAAGAAGTAACAATATTATTTATTAAATATTAGCAATTAAAGTACTATATCTGTCTGAGGAGGTCATATAATACAAAGTAGCTTTAGCTCATATCCTGATACAAAGTATCTCATAGCTAAATAGTTGCAATTTAGTCCAATTTTAGCCTCCTCTGCCTTGGCTTGCGTCGGACACAGGTCTCCACTCTTTTCCGTGTCCTAGCCTCCTCTCCCTTGGTGTGTACCAGGCACAGCTCTCCAATCTTTTCCGTGTCCTAGCCTCCTCTCCCTTGGCGTGTTCCGAACACAGCTCCCTAATCTTTTACAGATTCTAGCCTCCTCTCCTTTGGTGTTTTTTAGACCCTTCTTTCTAATCTTGTCCATGTTCTAGCCTCCTCTCCGTTGGTGTGTTCCAGACACAGCTCTCCAATCTTTTCCAGGTTCTAGCTGTGGCGGACCCCCAGGGACCCTAACTGGGTGCCTCTGCTAATCACTGCTTCCTAGTAACTCCGAGTACTTCCTAGCACTCCACCTGACACCATAACCACTGCAGTCCCCGTGGCCAGCGTTACAGATTGGCTGCGGTCTCTCTGTCCTCCGCCCACCCTGGCCCCAAGTCAGGAATCCAGCTTCCAGTGAGACGACCTCTCCTCCAAGAGAATGTAGCAGTATGCTCTTAAGAGAGCAAGTGATTATAATCCAAGGTAGTATATTGATTATTGCAATCCCCAAAGTGAATATAGCCATTTCCTCCACACATGAGACGAGGCTCTATGGTGAGGGTGAAGTGAAACTGGTTTAATGGGAGCCACATGCAGCCTTATACGCAACTCCCCATGCAAGGGGTTTCCGGATAAATATGGCAGGGGCATTCCCCTCTGGACCTGAGAGGAGACTACATTAAAACATACACATAATTACATTGGCTCTCAGGTCCAGGACACACGTCAGCGGAAGGTACCCAGTCAAGGTGCCAGGTGTTCCGTTACATACTGATAGCTCGATTCAGGGGTTCGGGATTTCCATGGAAGTCATAATTTTATCCAACCGTGCACATGGTCCTATGCCCAAAACAGTTCCAGGGAATCAGGGCTAACGGTTGGTCTCTCTGTCTGGAGTCTTCTAAAGTGCATTGGGCAAGGTATATTGCAGGGCCCATAGTCATGAGGCAGGAGGCTAGCAAGCAGGCTCCTCCAGGAGCCCGTGGGGAGGTTCTGGTTGCCACACTAGCCTCCTCTCCTTTGGCATTTTTTAGACCCTCCTTTCCAATCTTGTCCATGTTCTTGACTCCTCTCCCTTGGTGTGTTCCGGACACACAGTTTTAAAATTTGAAATTCACTTTGAATTCTCATGCTAGTGAATAACCGTGTGTGATGGACCGCCTGGCACCCCAACAGGGTACCTCCGCCAATCGATGCTCCTAGTGCTCACCGAGGACTCCAAGCACTCCACCAGACACCATAAACACTGTAGACCCCACAAACTGCCAAGCTTGGTTGGGGTCTCGCCGTCCTCCACCCACCCTGGACCCAAGACTAGGATCCAGCTTCCAGTGGGTGAACCTCTCCTACTACAGAGAGTATAGCAGAAACAGCTCTTATAAGAGCTAGTGATTATAATCCCCGGGAGTATAATGAGTATAGAATCCCCAGCGTGAATTAGCTGTCCCCACCACACATGAGACGAGGCTGTATGATGAGGGTGAAGAGGAACTGATTTTAATGGTGCCATACTTGGCCTTTTATGACTAACCCCATGCAAAGGAACACTCCCACATGGACCTTGTGGGGAACTACGGTACAAAGTCACAGACCAATAATAAGTGTTACAATGCATGACACTCCCACACATAGCATACAATCCCTCTCCTCTGCCTGGGAGATAATTGAGTCAGATACTGTATTAACTCAATTATCTCCAGGCAGAAAAACACATATTATAAAACCCCAAAAGTACCCCAAAACACATAATATCCCATGATAGCCCTGATCTGGGTGACTAACATATCCAAAAGCTACCCAAATCAGTTCAGGGGTTCAGTAATTTCCTGGAAGTCATTTATTTGACCGACCACAGGCATGGTTCCATACCCAGAGAGGCGGGTCGGTCTAGTTCAGCAGTTTGAAAACGAGCAAACTATCGAACAGAGTCAATAGTCTTACCCTGGAGCTTGTTCCCTTCATCCAGACGAATGATCTCACCGAACAGTGCCCTTCTAACTTGTATAGAACCAAACACAGGCTATGATGGAAGTCCAGCAGTGTTCGGGAGTTTCTGTATCCGATTTCAGTTCCATGAGATTCATGCCCAAACACTGCTGCCTGCGTTAATGCGAACAAGATGGCCGCAACCTCGTGGTTGTCTATAGGATGTGCGGCCACCCAGACGAACAATAAGAACACTGCGGTGAGAAACGTTCCAAGTTGTTAATAGGTGTTAACAAGCTCCAGGGTGGTCTCTATTCGTGCAGTTGTTCAGGAGTTCGAAGTGTAGCCATACAAGTCCGAAAAGGCACAAACAGTATATTTAACCAAAGTCTATTACAGGGGCCATAGTCACAGGGCAGGAGGCTGGCAAATAGTCACAGGGGCCATAGTTATGGGGCAGGAGGCTGGCAGGCAGTGATTTAAATCAAGGTTTATCACAGGGGCCATAGTCACGGGGCAGAAGGCTGGCAGACAGTGATTTAAACCAAGGTTTATCACAGGGGCCATAGTCACAGGGCAGGAGGCTGGCTGTCACAGGAGCAATAGTCACGAGGCAAGAGGCTGGCAGACAGTCACAGGGTCCATAGTAATGGGGCAGGAGGCTGGCAGACGGTGATTTAAATCAAGTTTTATAACAGGGGCCGTAGTCACGGGGCGGGAGGCCGGCAGACGGCGATTTAAACCAAGTTTTATCACAGTGGCCATAGTCACGGGGCGGGAGGCCAGCAGACGGCGATTTAAACAAAGTTTTATCACAGGGGCCGTAGTCACGGGGCGGGAGGCCGGCAGTCACAGGGGCCATAGTCACGGGGCGGGAGGCCGGCAGACGGTGATTTAAACCAAGTTTTATCACAGTGGCCATAGTCACGGGGCGGGAGGCCAGCAGACGGCGATTTAAACAAAGTTTTATCACAGGGGCCGTAGTCACGGGGCGGGAGGCCGGCAGTCACAGGGGCCATAGTCACGGGGCGGGAGGCCGGCAGACGGTGATTTAAACCAAGTTTTATCACAGTGGCCATAGTCACGGGGCGGGAGGCCAGCAGACGGCGATTTAAACAAAGTTTTATCACAGGGGCCGTAGTCACGGGGCGGAAGCCTGGCAGTCACAGGCCGTGAGGTCACGCTGGGGTCATACAATCGCCAGGGGCTATTAGGCGTCACAGGGCGGGAGGCCGGTAGTCACAGGGGCTATAGTCACGGGCGGGAGGCCGGGTAGGTCACAGGGCCAGAATCACGGGAAGCGCCGGGCAGTCACAGGGCCGTGAGGTCACGGGCGGAGGCCGACAATCACAGGGGCCATATAGTCACGGGGCGAGGCCGGCAGATGGCGATTTAAACCAAGTTTTATCACGGGCCACGTAGGGGTCACGTGGGCGTGGAAGCCGGCAGTCGCCAGGGGCCATAGTCACGGGCGGGAGGCCGGAAGTCACAGGGGGCCACAGGTAGTCGGATGGAGGCCGCAGGCTCACAGGGGCCGTAGTCACGGGGCGGGAGGCCGGCAGTCACAGGGGCCATAGTCACGGGGTGGGAGGACAGCAGTCACAGGGGCCATAGTCACGGGGCGGGAGGCCGGCAGTCACAGGGGCCATAGTCACGGGGTGGGAGGCCGGCAGACGGCGATTTAAACCAAGGTTTATCACAGGGGCCGTAGTCACGGGGTGGGAGGCCGGCAGTCACAGGGGCCATAGTCACGGGGCGGGAGGCCGGCAGACGGTGATTTAAACCAAGTTTTATCACAGGGGCCGTAGTCACGGGGCGGGAGTCCGGCAGTCACAGGGGCCGTAGTCACAGGGCGGGAGGCCGGCAGTCACAGGGGCCGTAGTCACAGGACGGGAGGCCGGCAGTCACAGGGCGGGAGGCCGGAAGTCACAGGGGCCATAGTCATGGGGCGGGAGGCCGGCAGACGGCGATTTAAACCAAGTTTTATCACAGGGGCCATAGTCACGGGGCGGGAAGCCGGCAGTCACAGGGGCCATAGTCACGGGGCGGGAGGCCGGCAGTC